ACGAACAAAAACCGAAAGAAATTTTCTCGAATTCTGGCCCACCGAATCTAATCACTCGAGCGCAAATCGTGCGAGAAGCGTTACGATTTTAATTTTTTTATTCATGCCTAACAAGTCATATCTCATGTCGTGACGGTCCAATTGGACTGGTCTTTGGAAAAGGCGAATTCTAGTCACGTCCAGCCTGATAAATAGGATGTACCGGTAATAGTCCGGTTAAATGGGACTCTTGATATAATAAAATTCGAGATTATTGTTGATAAGAAATTATTATAATGCAAATTATTCGTACAGCGATTTTTATACAATTTAGTTGGAGCAAATAATTACTAAATCCTTAAGGAGGATCTTAAAAAAGTGAAGAATCCTGATGAACCATGAATCACTAAGCCATTAAACATAAAAACCTTCAATTACTCAATAAACTCCATCAATAAATTTTGGACCAATACAGAAGTAACTGCAAGTGGAATGCACCAAAACTTATTGTAAAAAGCCTTACTATTTCTTTGGTTTTGGCGTTTGGTACTTCTATTAGTGCACGTTCATGGTTTATAGATAGTGATAAGCCGCTAGACAGTCGGGCAGAGACTTATGGACTCTCAGCATGTGTATATAGAGAGAGGCTGAACTAGCGACGGGCAATGGGAAGAAGAAACGGCGAAGCGGCTCGTCGGCGGTCAATCTATCAGGTCACACAGGTGTGCAGCGGGCAGCTCTCGGTCGGTCATTACGATTAATTGCTTTTGGACAAGAGGAAATCGTCGATAAGAATGAAAAAAAGGCAATTTCATCCGCGACGGGAACAATATAATTGCACTACGGCTTAGTTTCGAATCGGTTTTTAGGGGTTTCGTTATCTCCGACGTTGTTACCGGTTTAATTGGTTCGGGCGAAATTTTCAATTACCGGGAAACTGAATTTCGGATCGATTTTCCGCCGCAACGCCGCTTTAATCCGGTTAAAAAGACTTTATGCGCTTATTTACTGTTTGCTGTAGAAGAACAAATTCGCAGAGTACACCGTAAATAAACCTACCAGCGTTTAGGAGCACAAAAAAATGTCCTTGATTCCCTACTTTTCCTAAAATATAATCATATATCTTTCATTTCCACAAATTTTAAAAGATCCTTCAAACTCTCTTTTCATGTTCAAAATAATTGGAAAACGAAATCCACTCTTTCTTTTCATTAATTTTCCACGATAATATAAGCTTTACTCCTTTCTTTGGTTAATTTTTAATATTTTTAATGCAAGATAGCCTTCGAGTTTTAGGTATACCATGTTGGTCGATGTAGAATAAATTTATGAAATCAGAAGAGGAAGAAAATATTTTAATGCAAATAATTTTAACAAAAAATTCTAGTCTTCTAAAATTTCCAACAAAACTACTAAGTGTAAAGTACTAAAACCTTCAGGATTTTTCTAATTTATCTTGGACCATTCCAAATAGTTCTGAATATTATCAAAATATTTTGGACATTTATAAATCGTTGTAAGCTCATCCTGAACTGTTTCTAATAGTCATAATCAGTTTTAAAAAGTTCTGGACAGTTCTTGGACAGCTGGTGACTCTAAAATTATCCTTAACAATTTGAAAAGTACACTTCAGTGGATTCAGTAGTACCATCTATCTCCCTCTCGAACGATATTGAGATGGTCAAGTACACTCTCTTTCTCGGACTTGTGATATTCCTATGCCCATATAGACGCGGACCGACCCGGTATACAGCTGTGTATACCTACTTGGGGCTTTTAAAGAGCACGCCGAGTGTAATTTGCTACTTCCCACAGCGATGATATCGCGGCTCGCTCGTCGGGATGAAAGCGGATTCTTGGTGGTCTATAAAAATATATCGTCGTTTTCTGGACTAGGTGATTGATAGAACGCTTGCAGTGGGCTGTAATTGAGGTCATTCGATCGCGATAGGAAACGCCGAGGATTGACTGTCCGATACTTATTTACTATTTAATGATGTAATTATTTCGGAATATTAATGGTTATGGCTTTGTGTCGGCTACTAATCAACTTATAGGGAATTGATAGCTTAATGAACCAGATGGATTTTTTTACATTCGGTTTCTAAAGGGTCATTATTTTAGTTCTCAGTAGTATCTGAAATTATTGGGGATGAACACTTCTAAATTGATTCTATCATACCTTTTATACAAACTTATTTTTAGTGCATATTATTTTTTAGATAACATCAGAAAATGTTGGGTAATTTTTAGTACTTATCTAATGATATAAAAGTAAATAGATATTATAAATTATACTCAGCTATTTCTTTTGTTAATTAATTCCCAAGCTACTTTTACTCGAAGCAAATCCCAGAAACTGTACCTAATTTCGAGCTCGGAACGCGATTAGTGAACGGTTTTAATTTCGGATTGGAGAATAAACGTAACCGGTTTGGGACCTCCCGGAAACCGGAGGTCTGGGTCTGCGCCTCCTCTTATCAATTATCAATGAAGAAGTGTAAACACGACTTTTTCGTTGCCATATTTAGAGGACCTACTTTAGCCGAGTGACTTAATGAACCAGTCGGTCGAGGTGGTATCGCGGGTACGCGGTACTACCGGCCCGGCTTCGTCGACCGTGCAGGTACCGTTACGGAGAGGAAAGTTCAAACAATGACCAATTAGACCGTTGTATCTGCGTCTCGGTGACATCGATATTTTGATATTATTCAGGATGTCTCAGTTTTATCATTTTTTTTTCATTTTAGAAAGTCGCGTTGATTTGTAGGTAACGATTATTATTATTATAATATATTTTTAAGACTCTAATCGAGCTAAATAAGTAATTTTTGAAAATTTCACTCGACAATGTAAAAGTCGAGTTTTCTTTAGAAAGCAGTAGTAAATTTTGCTATTTTCATTAACGGAGTTTCTTGAGCATTGTTTATGTGATAAATTATAATAGCAGCTAGTTTAATGATGGATGCTTTAAAACTTGTTGGGGCGACTTGGACAGGGAACGAAGACTTTCACATTCACAACAAAGACCTTTTATTGAAACTAAATACCGACTTTCTACGTCTTTTGTGCTCGCCGTATCGTAATAACGCATTGTGATAAGTTCTTGCTTTTAAAATACCATCAACGTCATATTTAGATGAAAAACAAAATACTATAACTGGAAAGGAGCTGCATCTCATTTTCCCATGAATCTTTAAAACATTACCACCGAGGCGCTGGGTATTAAGCTATTTTACGAGCTTTATACCAGATTTCGTCAATAAAATAAATATTTTACTGCTAGTTCTGTAGTAGTTCCAAAGATGCGTCCACTATGAATGTAAATTACTTGATATATTCCAATGTTTTATTTGTTAACTATTCGTGCATTTCGCATGCGAATATGTTTTATTTAATAATTGAAATCGTTGAGAATGAAGCTTTTATACATACTTCGAAAGTCATAAAATAATATTCTACGGAAGCTTTAATAATGATTTAAAGTATTTTACTTCGACATTAACTATTTATAAAGCTCTAAATTACCTAATGTTCAAAATTCAATTACAGAAAAATAAATTATTTTAAGAGGCATAATTCATTACTTTATGTTTCTCCATTCGTTCGTTTTATAAGTTCAAACGATCAGCTCCAAATAATTCATTTCGAGACAATAAAACTTTATTATTTATTAATACCTACGCTAATAAACTGCCCGTAAAACGATTTGAAATTAGAGATCGCCTTGTGTTTACGATTCGAAGTCGTTTTTGTTCTATTAAATGTCGTAAACAAGTGATTCTCGGAATGGCTTTAAAGCCTAAAGCCCGCAATAATAAAAGTTTATAAAAAAATAGCGTCCAGCAATGTCCAGCATTCGTGTAGGTACTCGAAGAAGTTAACGGCGTGCCAGTTAGGATGGAAAAAATATTTTTTCATTAGAGAACGCCGTGAATTTAACGATCGCGAAGGAATTTATGCACCTGTTACACTTTGTATACTTTGTCAGTAATACGTCTTGAAGTCTCGACATTAAACTGTCTTTCAAGTATTCCAAAAAGTCTTTTGACAATGTTATTTTAGCGAGTGATTAAAAAATGATGAGTTTGTTATAAATTCATTCAATTGAAGTGTTTGTGAAAATAAAATTTATACTAAGAATTTAACAACGTAATTAATTTTATATTCAAGATGATTAAGTTGAACAATTCGTCTAATAAATTCCATTAAAGTCATAAATTTTCTGTTATTTTTAAAATAATTCAATAACATGAGCAAATATTTACTAGTAGGTATGCAAACTCGTGTAAAAATAACAATATACGTACGTCAAAGTTGCATGACTGTATTTTTATGTAACTTTACAAAAACTCCATTATTTTTTGAATGTACTTAGATATCTACCGCTGAATGATTGATTGATTTTATCAATTTTTTTATGAATTTTGCATGATTTTTCCCATAAATCATTGCGCTTAAATTGCCACTCGAATATCGACTCAAAAATAAAAAAAATTTCAAATATCACTCATTTCCCAAAACAATTCTTAAAACGGATATGCACAATTAAAAATCGTACGATGTTAGGAGATAAAACATGATTTCATTATGTTTTGACGGGATTACCTACACCTATCTTATCTATACTGTTATTTATCGATACCTTGTATAAAATAAAGCTTAATAAATGGATTATAATCATACAGTACGTTCAGTAGAAAGTTGAAACACCTCTACTATCTCTTGTATTAAAACGTTTCATTTTCAAAACGAGTTACCGCGCTTTTATAAACGAATAAAGATTTAAGTCTCTGTTTTTATACCCAATATAAAATGTAAGTAGCAAATAAACAACGTACAGATCCTTCGCAGCTTCATATTTAACCACCATTTAGCACACGAATAGTTCTTAAAACATTCCAAAAATTTCTCACAAAATATGTATACATTACATAAATAACTTACATAGTTGATAAATTATCCTGCATATCATTAAATATTTTTTCGTTCGTTGCAGACGCTAAATCACAATCAGAACAATGGAGTCCTGGTTAGTAGACATTAAAAGAGTGCACATTCCACGTCCGAAATTCGGGAGCGGTTCGCGTTGCTACGGCTACGGATATCCCACTGAACCCCCCAAAGATTACGTCAACGAAGAGGGCAGGGAGGATTACAAATACAAAAATTTACCGGCGAATATGGCTAAGGCTACTGAAGAGATCAGGAGAGCGATGCAGAAATTGTAAGGATTCGCTTTGTAAAGTGATTTTTTAATCTAACGATGATCTGATATGTAACCAGGCGTGTTTGTACCGTCGAGATTTTTTCCAATAATTGGTTTTATATTTAGTTTTTAGTTCTATTTTAATGTATCAAGACTGTTTTAAGTCTGTAACTTTGAATTTCTGCGCCCAATAATAAATAAGCCATATACTTACCATTTTTTATACGAATTTTTACACGCAAGTTTATATAATGTAATGTTTCTTGTTTTCGTAATTTAAAACTACCTCGTCTCAACGAATGCTGAGTACCTACAATTATCAATAATTTTTTATTTTAACGACTTGGGCGTAGAAAAAATATAGTATGTAATTCTCTAATATGAATGTATTCTATAAGCACCTTATTTCATCCATTGCAAGAATTTATTTGTTCCTTTTATTTATACAAAACTTGCTTTCACATCTCACAAAGTATCAAAATTACAACTCGATTGATTTTTCAATATTTGATTTTGTAATGAAATTAATTTGTTATTATACTGCTTATTATTTTTTCCTCAAAAAGGAAGAAGGAACTTATTAGGCAAGTTTTGTATAATTTAAAACAGCAATCATAAAAACGTCGGATTTACCACAATTCAATTTTTGTGCTGTAATTACCTATGTATTCAATAGAACTATTTTTATATATTCACAATAAGAGGAAGTTTCAAATAAAAATGTTGCAACCTTTAATTATTTCGTTGTAGCAGCGCATACTTATGAAACTTTGTTATGTCGAAATAAACGAAACTACATTATTTATTTTCTTATTATCAGTATCTATGTAGTTAGATATTTTCTGAATGGATTGATCACCAGCTACTTTATAGATATCAAAATTGTTCACAACATTTCTCGGAATGTGTATACTCACTCATTTAAATGTGTAAGATAAATTTAAACGGAATTCGTATTAGATAAAGACTATCTAAAAAATTTGTATATAAATCTGTGATATATTCCATGAATGTACGTACTTTTAGTTTCGTGTACTGATAGATTTTTTTTAATTAATCTTTTGTAAGTAGTTCGAGTAAGAGTAGCATTTACAAGTAATTTTGTTTTTAAGTTGGATTTATATATCTACAATAAATGTTTTAATTACTTGATTTGTTTTTTGCCTCTTGATTCTCTATAATATTTGAATAGAAAGTTGAAGACTTTTATCAAACTGTCAACTGCAACCAAACAACTCCACCAAGTTCACAATTAAATCCTATCCTCAAACATATTCCCACAGCCATTCAATATCGATGCTAAACTGAGAATGTAAATTCTATAGGGATTATAATCACATTACGTTCGAGTATTATGCACGTATTCATCAATAACTAGTTCCAAGTAGTTGATCCAAATCGATGGAATATCTGAAATATTTTGCATAGATCCGTTCGAAGTGGACACAAGACAGGTTTCAGAACAATTACACGAATTGAAAAATTCTACCGATAGGTACACACTGTGAACCAGTACTCAACGATAATTAAAGCCATTCTGTAGGGAAAATTATCAATTCATTATGGATACTCACGGAATCGGGGTAATCCTGTTGGTGTAAGGCCGTCGTGCTCCCGGTCCGCGATTCGCCCGGACTTGAGTGCCGCCTGCTCCTCCTTCCCGGAGGATTATCCTCGTCGCCACTCGCGTATTCCTGCAAACACGACTTCGATAAGTACATTGACAAACTTGACCCCGTCGAGGATTAACTTGCATGGATTCGCCTGCGGCGTTTATACTTCGAATTATTTTAAATCGCTTCTACAGCTCGTTAGGTAGACATTTGCCTTTTTTTCTGTTTTATTATACTTTTAAACCTAAGAGAATTCTACTACATTTACTAAATTCGAATTTATTTACAGTAGGTATTTGAAAATCATGCCATAAATTATGTACTGGTATCTCTAAGTAGAAAGTAACAAGAAGCATCATAATTAAAATCCAATATGCTAAATAAATTTTGTAACTATCTGAATAAAACACACACATACAAATCTAACTATCTACCCTACTATAACTATTTTCTAACATTAAGTATGTATCTATTCGTTAGATTTGATATAAAGATATTTCAGGAGAAGAGAAATAGGAGTGCATGTGGAATACGATAGAAATATGTCGGTGCCAGTGCTCTAAAAAAACAAAATAAGCCATAGAAAAACAAACGTTCCGTGCTTATTTTGTGTTCTCTACAAGCCTACGAAGACATAGAGAAAAAAAGGAATAAGAAAAAATAGAGAAAACACTGCAGTCACCTGGTTTCGGTGATCGTCGTCATTTAGTTTTCCGGTAGCACTAGCTGGACGAATGCTAGAAACGTTAAAATTCGTTAACATTCGCTTATTAACCGCCGGAGTATTGCGGATTTATTGACAATATACTCTAAAAATGTGTCTGTAGTTTATTGATTAGTGTGCATTTTTAATTTTAATCTGTTTTTTAATCGTTTTAAATAAAACACGGCGATAAAATTACATATGTGTGAGTAAAAGTATAAACTATTGGAAGATGAAAAAGAAAAACCAGAAAAAATTGAAAATATATAGGCAAAAAAAATCTACTAAAAAGTAAATGTACTTACATTAGATGGATGAAAAATATAAATGGTGTAAATAAATGATTGTCTAGGCTTCATCAGTCATTTTTAGGTATTTTTATATACTGAATAAAAAATGATCTCAAAAACGCAATCTTTTTTAACTTCCTTTTTACCAACTAACCAATTTTTTTAATTTTTCAAACTGGCAATTTCTTTCCTTTCTCAATTTTCAATAGCTACCTTAATTTCCTCTTATAGAAGCGAACAAATACATGAATTAAAGCAAAAGTATGCAACACACATTTTTCTAGTATATTTTTAACAATCATAAGGAGGCAATGAATCAATCGAAGAGTTCAAAAATAAATTGGAACAAGTTCAAAAGTATAATGCACTTCATAGCGGATTAACAGTGAGGCGTTTAAAGTTAAACTGGATCAAGTCAATAGATAATAGTCATTATATTTTCCAAGGTAATGTATATATAAACAAAAGTTTTCACCTGAAACATATAGGGCAATTTTGTTGTTTTTTTGATTAAAAGTTAAGTCTAATCGAAAATCTTAAATAGGTGTTATGGCAAATTAAACAATGAGTAAATTTTGATTAACTGAAAACTAAAATGTATGGCCTTGATTCACTTCGGCTTTGGACACCTCAATTGTAAAAATTCCCTATTTACAGGCTCTTTTCGTTACCTTATATGTTTGTCGGCAACTCCCAGTCCTAAACCTGAATCTTCGCTCGGAGAACGATGGTATTCACCCTCGTTTTGAATATTTATACTCGGTGGTTGTATTTCTCCGTATTCCTAATAAATAATACCCAATGATAAAAAGAAAAAAAGAATTTTCCTGTTTAATCGATACCATCAAACTATATTTTAACAAATTTCAATTGTTCTAGGAATGTAATTATAGCAAACAACAAAATCCGATGTGTGCTTTTCCACCTACACCAAAACATAATTAATAATTATTTGAACTCAATGGATTATTCGAAAGCATTTATATTTAATAATAATAGACAAGTATAATAATAATTACAAAGTTAATAATAATAGACAATAATAGACAAGTATTATTTTCGGTTAAAACAAAACAATATTGAATGAATAAACAATATGTAAAATTTACTACTGCTCATTAAATTTGAAGCTATAAAATTTCATTAAATCCACAAAAATAAATCAACAAATTCACATTGCCAAGTTAATTTATATAGAAATAAATGAAAAATCTTTTCTTTTATTAAAATGGTTTTGGCCTTCAGTTTGTGGCGTCAGACATTTACAAACAGTTCGTTGCGATATAAACTGATGTAATTTAAATATAATCAAATCTGTCGATCATATGTCAGTTTCATCATCCGCCACAGTGGATCAGTTAAGACCCTACTGAAGACGAATATTACAAACCACTGCGGGTCTATACATCTCGATCAGTTGAGAGGCGAGTTTCAACGCGTAACTAGCGACATCTACGTTAACGAAGCGTAACTGTAAGCTACGATAAGGATTACGAGAGCTCGACTATCGTGTTTACGTAGTATCGACGGTATAATAAAGGTGGCCGTGCGCTCCTTTATTTTGCAATTGTTCGGGTATTTCAGAAATTTAATAGATTAGATAATCGATTTAATTTTAAACAATTTATTTTCGGATAACTTAATAATCGGAAATTTATTTATAAATTGTGTTAATTCGTGTTTTGTACCGAATAATTGTTTAAATATGCGTTATATTAAATGCATGTTGTTTAAATTACGGATAGGTTTGACGTTATTGAATGAGTTTTTATACAGCATCAAGCACCACATATGTCTATCAATATTATTTCACACAATGAGCTAATTCCACAATGTAAGCGGTATTCATGCACTCGCAAATAACTACTCGACTTACCTCGTATCCGGAATATATGGCGTTATTCGAATCAGGGATGGGCACTCCTTTCCGCTGAAAATATTAAACAATAAATAAATAAAACAATAAAATTATCAGATTTATTACACTTTACTTTTGAGTTTTAAACGGTTTGTTGTTAAAACTGTTACAGGGATATTTAGATAAAAATGGGAAATGCAGAAAATATCTTAGCGTTTGATTGGATGAAAAAAATTAAAAATGAATAAATTTATTGGAAAATATAGATACTTAGTTTTCAATTTAAATCAATTTTATTGTGCATCTTCTGGATACACAAAATTACATATTAGTTTTCAGTGAAAGTCTATTATGTAATAATGGATAATAAAGTTGTAATGATTCAGTAATTGCGCACACAGGCGCATATTAATTTCTTATTATCACCAATTTTCGTGGGAATATAATAACAGTTTATTTGTAAGGAAGTTACACAAATGGGAAAATAACGAGCTTTATTAAAGGCCTTTACCGGTAAAATGTGAAAGATCTAAGAGGCTAATTCCGACTAGATATATTTAATGACTTACCCTTGAATGTCTATAATCGGTTTCCCTAGATTCTCTAAACCTCGAAAGGTCAGTCTCCCTTCTATAAACTAATTCATCGAACTTTACGCGGTCGTCGATGGCTACTATTTCTCTTAATTCGGTCATAAGGGTATACTGCAACATTAAGAAATTACACAAAATTAAAAAAAAATATTATTTTAATATATTCGCAAGCACATTTAACTAAAACAACCACTACATCAACATTAATTTTTCCATCCATCTGCTCGAAGCGCTCCTTCCTTTAATGCATCAACATTGTTCTCCGGCCATTACCGTTGTTTTGCGTGGTTCTGGTAACAATGACTAGCATTTCAGGAGGTGTCAGACGTGCCATTGTTAGACAGGCATGCTAAATACATCAAGTGGGCGTTGCAGGACTAATTAAACGTCAATCTAATTGAAACCGTTCCAAAATAAAGCGAATGGATGTTTCTCGTTAGTTTATGGAAATGCGAGATGCAACTTAAAAGCTTTTGGAATTAAATTGTCGAAGGTGTTCGGGTTTAAAGGACATTTACTATACACATCCTTTATTGGATTATCCATGCACTATCCGCAATAATTAGTATGTGTGGCATAGTATTGAAATCAGTGTAAAAAACGCAAAAATACATAGAAAGTGATATTATAAAAAAGAACTTAATGTGCCTGTATCATTGTAAAGAAATTACCTTCTCGGGGGTGTTAAGAAGTTCAGTCATGACTTGTACAAAGGCATCTATGGTCATATTTCTGGCTGCGTACTCGTCCGTGTAATAGCAGAGGGTGGTAAACTCCGGACGAGTCAGGAGGATCCGAGCTTTTTCCTCTACCATCTGGAGAGCCGCCGCCCATTTCCGAGTTGTCGCCGCAGCCCTACTCCTGCAAGCACCAGCAGTAAACTGATATATTGTTCATTGAAAAAAGATTCAAGTCTCAAAAGTATATCTACATCTTTGTTTGTTTCGAACCATCTTCAAGATTCAGTTGTAAACAATAACACAATTAATAATAAGATGAAATATTCAGAAAGTTATATGTAGGCTGAAGATGGCTTATATTCGAAACTAGTCGACCACTTCTTGTTAACAAATTTGCAGCAAATAAGATATTCTCTTTTCCCATAGGTTTGTTCCCAATTATAATTCGAACAGTTCCAGAACCAAACATTAATTGCTGCTTTAATTAATCTGCAGCGCAATCGATGACATGTCATGTATTCGTTGGGAACAAACCATTTGGGACAAACGAGTGTCAGGTTTAATGGAACAAAAAGGGTGATTACCCCGGACTGCATAGGTCCCAGTCTCTATCATAGGCAGTGCAAGAATGCGGGACCTTCCCGACGTCCCTGACAACAAGCGACATTCGCTTGTGGTACTTCAATTGAGCCACGGCTTCATCGTGTGTTACGTCCATGAACGATTGGCCGTTTACCTCTAATATTTGATCGCCGACCTGGAATAGAAACACAAGCTGATATGGTAATCCATACGAATTCTCTCTGTCCAATTTCGATTGTCAATTTTCGTCTCGATTGAATATCCTGCTATCGTCCGCACGCAATTCGGAACGCATATGCATTTTCCGGATTTGCCCCGATCGCAATGTTTCACAGCGAGTTTATCGGGGATTCCGTAAATTACGTTTCGTAAAAAATATGCGCTCATTCCGCGATAACAAATTTTAAATTGCCGAGAAATTGCTAATGAAACGGCGATATTGGCAGGATGCCACGGAATTTTATTGCAATAAATACTCGACTTTTTAATAGAGCTACGGTGGCTAAAAATAAGAGGATAGAAAATAACATTTACGAATTTAATTTCGTTTCGATTGATAAAAATATCCTAAATTTATTCGGATTTCGAGTTCGGGCTCTAGTACGGTTAAAAGAAGGCGAATTTAATATTCGTCCCTTCTAGTTAAGGAATCCGCAAAAAATTGGCCGTTATTACATCGGGGGTGAATTAATGACAAGCGCCATTAGGTACCCTATTCCACTCCGTACAGCCGTATTACCCTTATTTATAATTTGTGCATGAAAATGAGAAGAGCCTCTTCTGGAAAGCCGTGGAATACGAAAAACGCGGAAAATATTACGGCATTAGGAAGCTGACGAAGTGTAATAACTCGAAAAATACGCCGGGTTTTATGCATTAAATATTTTTAAGCCGCTTCCTGTTGTCGATTTGAGTTGTTCCTTCGATAAGAATGTAATTAAATATGAGAGATCAGCTTCCAAAATAAATTTAATTTGCTTTTAATCAATACAATAATGAATTGCTAAGGGGATGAAATGAACGAAGGGAAATTTCGTTTGGCACTATAAGAAGATTTTAATAGTACGTTAATTAACTTTTTATTAAATTAAATCTCCATAAAATGTTTTTTTGAGAATATTAGGATAATAAACTATTTTTGTTTTTAATTTGATTGTGAGCGATGGAATTTTCCTACAACAGAAAACTTCGGAGTTATTTTTTTAATTAAATCTCACTGACGTACTGGATTTGTTGTGATCCCAGGATTGTCAATATTTTTTCGGGGCCCGTCAAATATTCCCGTTTATTAGGGGCCCGCGTTTTTCGTTAACGTACCATCAATCCAGCCCTGTCAGCGACCGAGTCCTTGTCAACGCCGGTGATGAAGATTCCCAAATTGTATTCGACGCCTCCGCGAATCATTAGTCCCAGGCTTTGGCCAGGCTCGATGCAGAGGTCGACCTGGAACAAAACAAAGAAAATTAGTCTCCATCCGCAGGAATAATCCAATTTCTCGCCTTGACAAATTGACGGGTATGTAATATAGTATGCTGAGACTGCGTGAAGGCAGTAAAAGAGGGAAAGTCCCAAGTGGATGTAAATTAGATTAACCAGAATTTGTACGTTTCCTCTAGTACGAACCCAAATGTTACATGCACATATTTAAGTAGGTGTACAGGGTAAATGTTCCACTTTGCTCATTTAAACAGAAATTGGAACGAAAACCTCACTAAATACTACATAATACAGAAAGTTTTGTTGATCGAATTCCAGCACAGTTCCATTCATTAATTTTAATGATTGCGTGCAATCGACTCGCCGACGTACTAAACGAAGGGAAGAAATAACTTTTGGCGCAATGACTGCCACCTTTAATGGTCCATTAGAGCCCTCACGATCCGTTCGTTTCAGAAGTAAATTTGCGAAAATCCCAGTGAAGAGACTTCCGAGAATGGGCGAACATCAATCAGTTCAATCCGCAGAAATTTTATATAAATTCTTATAGAACTTGTATATTAGATAGATTAAAATCTGAACCAATTATATTCAGCCATTATTCCCGTTCGGTCCGTTGACTGTATAATTTAGTCCCGAATGGTTATTTCGTTCATGTACGTGTAATAAACGGGCGCTTAGAAAGAAATCCCGCGTGACGTTTTCGGAATAGCCGAGGAAAATGCACAAAAGAGACGGGGGTTGCCATTAGCCCAATTCCCGAAGTGAAATTGTACGAGGCACGTCAGTTGTTAATACGGTCTTGAATGGAAACGGTTTCGTTAACTATATGCCGACGAAGCGGCGTTAAAGAGCTTCCTAGTTAATGGTACTTTTCTTTTTTTCCTTTGCAACGAGCGATTTCGCCGAAGTATCGGGAGCGTCAAAGCGTAAACCAATTTTAATGCGCGGCCCATCCTTCGAAATAATGCCGGCAGATTTTTTTCGCTTTTGTGCCAAAAATAACTCTTAACTTGCATTAATTTATTAACTCATTGTCGCTTCAAAGATCGAGATTTTTGTGGAACTCGATAGCGTGAAGTAAATAAAATTTCGCAGCCCTTCATAGCGGTCCTTCAGTAATGCTTCGGTTATTCTAAAGGGCTTTAACGGTGAAATGGAAACTAGATAGCGATGTAGATCGTTTATCGCGGGTGCTGGCTACATTGTTTGCTTTGTTAGGTGGGAAATGTGTCGGAAAATTGCGAAAATCGCGGTACAACGAATGTAGGACAGTATTGGCAACGTTTACGCGATTTGTTTTCGCATTGTTACTAATTAAAGAATATCATAAGTTAATTAATACGTTTAGTAACTAATCTAAAACCAATATATTGTTTATTTCAGTTTATGAAATCGCCATATTCCGATCCGGTTTAAACGTCAATATAGAGGATTCTGGCAAAATTCCAATTCCGATTTTCCACTAAAAGGAAAACTCCCGAAATTGCTAATAAACTCTCGAACAACAGCACAAATCGAGCTCGCAATCGGCTCGATACGTACTAAGTAAACGAACAGCGGGCATGCGGTGCCAATTTCTACAATTTCCGGTAACCAAAATCTCTTATTAATCGCACACAGTACCGTCGAGGCCTTTAATTTAGTCGGCGTTAATCACAACGGGAGCGGAACGCTGCCAACGGAAGCGGGATGGCTTTGATTTTCTACCTGCCGTTACCTGAATTACGGTAATGCCTTCTTGTCAGCCATTGAAACAATCGGAGCCTAATTGAATACGTGATTAGAAAATTACATTTAGATGAGGAGGCTGTGAATACGAGTAGGCGTACCTACTTACGCGCATATTATATTGGAATAAGCCAAATCGTCGAGTCGGGAAATCGTAAACCACGGATGGTAATTAGTTACAATAAGGAGCTAATTAGAATTTCCAGCTAGATTAATTGAGATGTTTCATGTGGATTTGGTAGGGATTTTTTTCTTCTATTTTAATAACAGATTATTATAACTCAGCTCTTTGAACTATTGCAATATTAGAAAATTGTTCAATAGAGTAAGTGCGCCAAATATGGACCGGTCTTATAATATACCACCCCCATTTTAAGAAGAATGTTCTTTATATCGAGTAAATGATCATCACACACTAAGCATCACTCCTCCCTTGACCCATCTGTCGCTTGCAGTGATCCAGGATGCATGCAGATATTTACGACAGTCTTTTTTAGTTTTCTACAACGCGCGATCTAATTTTGCAGCGAACTTTGGAAGTTTTTTAATCCAAAAAATACTATTTTATGTGAAAGTGGATAAGACCACGAGGAAGGTGAGTCATGTTGAACTTAATTGTATTAAGTTTTAATGTTCTATAATATTCCATTATTCTGAAAAAAATAATGATCTCAAAATGAGTAAGTATCACAATATGGATCAGTGGCACGTTTTAAATACGGAGTGGCTAAAAATTAATGTTTATCTTCTAGAATGGCTTCTAAAACAATAGAGAAGACCAGACAAGCATGGCATAAAAACGCAATAGCGGAGGCAATTGAAAATGCACGAGAAAAGAAAATGGGCTTTTTGAATGGTTCCAAAACATACACCTAAAACAAATCACTTAATGATACCACCACCCAAAAACTTGGGAGACAATCAACATTACCGAATGAGTTGGAAGATGAATTAGTAAATTATATTCTAGAAATAGAAAAATCTGGATGTGGTCCATATTACGTTCACTAAGTTCATAAAAATGATATACCTACTTTGTTCACTTTCTGAATATTCATAAAAATGATATACCTACTTTAGAAAATGTTATTTATTTCAAAGATTTTGTTTTTTTGGAGATTTTTTTTGCGAGTTTTTCTTAACTAAATGGTTAAGGCATTGTTTAATACAAATAAAGCTGATTAAAATTTAAAATTCGACTTTTTATTGAGGAAAGTGCTTATGATATATGGTCCATATATGGCGCACTTCCTCTACATGTATCTAACTACTTCGACTTACCCTTCGTACGCTCCTGTCTTTGCTGGACGACCTGCCATAGCCGTACCTCTGGGCGGGCACGGGGCCGCTTCGAGCGTATTCCATTGGCGGCGACACCGGCCTTCCGTACCTGTCCATCCAAGAGCAAGTCTGGCGCATCTGCCAGGGCGCGCCTCCGCCAAAACCCACGCGACCTCCCGGCAAATTCGGCGATCGCACCGTCATGCTTAAATTTCTACACGATTTCAACATCTGGAAAAAATATACAAGAAGTTTTAATACCATAATCACTACTGTATATTTTAGTCATAATCAACGAACATTTACTTTTAAAGAATCATTAAACCTAAGGATATTTCACTCGATTTCGCAACGCTGGTTTTTCATTATCATTTTAAGCCCCGCACTCGAAAGAAGGTCTATTATCAAGCCCGCCGACTGTGTCAGATATTGTCCCGCTAATAACAAAATAATTCCTCGTTAGTCTCAAAACTGTTCCTTGGCTACCCTAATATTTTGCCTGTTCCTGTAAAATAACAATCATTAATTCCGTAAATGGACGCGCTCAATCTGTTCTCGTTTCTCCCTAAAGTTATTACGGGCGATATTCTGCCATTTATGAACCCTCTTAATTAGTTCCTCGCGAAAACGAATCGGCTTCGCTTTGAGTGCACCCTATCAAGACCTCCTCCCGATATTAACTAACATTCACCCGAGGTTAATTGTTTTCTTTGACAACAACCACTTTGATGTCTATGGAAGTTTCTCCTGCGTATTCCTTTAGAAATAGCGTCAGGAGATATTTACTTTAAGATGGAATGAGCTGGAAACTTCCCGTAATTTATCGGAAAAGTGATGTTTTTTTGGGATATCCAGAAGTACAGATGAGTAGGGAATTTTTATTGGGTGTAAATTTACGGGTCGGCAGGAAACGATTTAACGAGATTTTACGGCATTAAATTCATCAATTAATTCATCCAAAATTGAACCTGTTTAGCAATCTTGTGATCGTTCTGCTGTGATTTTTATCGTTGGTTTAAAATTTTTTGAGTAGAAGGAAATTATAGTTAACACATATTTATGTTCAAAACGTAGTTAGATAGCTACTACAAAGCAGTTAAGGGAAGAGAAGCCGTTAAAATGCAATAAAACGTGACAGAAATTAAGAAGTTTTTTTTAGCAACACTTTCCGACTCCATTGAAGTCCTTATTAGATAACTTTCTTATAGCGGCCGCCATCATGAATTATTCAATTTTCGAAAACCGTCCAATTTATTTCGGTTAAGGCGAAGGAAAACCCGTTGCAGTAAATTATCATCATTGTCAGCGAAAATAATCATAAACCGGAAAGTGTTCAGGGAAGCAGCTTCAGGCCTACGCTATGAGTGCTGGTTATGAATACAAATAGGATCATTTTCGAGCTCGCGCAATCACTCCGCGGATATACTTCCTATAAGGTGGAATAGTGTACTGAATTATCGGTGGTAGAGTTCAGGTAACAACGTCAAAAGGAGAATCCTCAAGAGATGTAATTTTCGCTCAGATTCGATACCGAAATGACAGAAAGAGATGTAGAGAGTAATACCGGATGGCTATAACCTATAATGTATTGAGTCAGAATTGGCAAATGACTCTCTAAGGTAGTTAAAGAACTCTCTTAGATAGACAATGCATTGCAATCTCTTTTGGATAGGAATAGGTGACTCTCTCTGACAGATAAACAATTTTCTTATATAGATAATAATTGACTCTTTTAGATAATATGTAAATGACTCTCTTATGTAGACAAATAATCATCTCCATATTTGTAAGTTTTTTGGATACATAATTGACCCTTTATAAATAGAACTGTACAGAGTAAATGACTCTTTAAAGTTGAATCTATTAATTAGGTTGAAGCATTTTCAAGTAAATAAACGACATTTTAGCGTATTTTAAGTACAATAAATGAATGAAAAGTAGTACACAAATGCTGAAAACGTGAATGGTCTCTTGAAAATTAATGTACCGAAGACCAAACACCTACTCCTATAAAATTAATGCATTGTAGCCAATGATTTTAATAATCTCATTATTCAGTTACGTTCAGTTGTGCTTGAAAATGCAAACGACAATTTTCCGCCTAGTAGAAAACTGGCTGAATTATTCGCGAATAAATGGAGATGTATGAATAAACATTACTCCTAGAGACCTCGGCTCTCCTGTGACATTTATGCAAACGGAGCGGTTCGAATTTCTGCATACACGTGCATACTTTCCAACCATATGGAAGTTTTTAGTGATGTTTTATGAATGTTGAAAAATAAACTTTTTACGCATTCGATTCGCCGCTTTTTTAACCGCTGAATTTCCAAAACAAATTATCATTATTCGACCAAAAATTGCGGCAAAAACGCGAACAAAGTTCGCCTCACAATTAAGGGAATTTCAAAGCGAAATTTTATTCGATGGAAATATCCAATTCGAAGTTCCTCAATACCGTCGCTCGTTAAATTGACCTTTTTTATATTTTTAGACAGCAAAGCCACCGAAATGGTAATGTCGTGTTTCGAGGACATTACGACGCCGCTCCTAAAATCATTTGATTCCGAAATAGAGACGTCTCTGCGTCGGGGCGCAATGAAAATCAAATTTCGACGGAGGACGATGAGTCCTTGCGGAGTGCCCGATATTTGTCCCGGGCTACGTTCATTAAACCGGAAGGAATAAACTCTGTCAAGCTGATGCAAACTTTATTAGATTCAACCATTTTTAGAAGTTGAATTTGGTACACACTTTTTTCAGTTTTTCAAAGTACCTACCACATGAACAAAGTAAAATAATGTAAATAAAAGAGCTTTTGCCTCATCGTAATGATATTTCCCAAAGTGGTCGGAAATAGCTCAGAATCCAATTAATCGAGTTTAATATCCCTATCAACTTCGATTTGTGCGCAAAATGAGTTCGCCTCTAGCGCAATATCGCCTAAATAAATAGCGCATTGAATAATGAAGTATAGCTTTAATTAGCGTGACGATCTTGCCGGCTAATTGATAATTCGACAATGAAATTGGATCAGGAAGCTGTTCTATTAATCATTCCGCCGCCAGCGTTGATAGAACGGGGCAAGGTGGAAGTGAAATGCAACATTTTGAATAATGACCGGCGACAATCAGGTAATGTCCCAGCGCGTATAGGGACAAATCGCGGATGATTAGGGAACAATTCCATTGGAGACGGGCAGCCAGTAGATTACAAACGAATTCTCGTGAAGAATAATTACTAAATTTAATCGAGTAATTAGTTCGTTACCGGCTGCAGTGAAGTTTATTTACGTGCAACTCGCCTGGAAATTATTGGTGCGTTTTGAAATTTAGCACATGTATATTACCGCATACTTGCTGTTGGTTTCCACTCATGCTGCGTCCGAGACCATAAACATGCACAAATTTATGCATGCCGGCGATGCCTGAGTAACTATGATTTTTGCTCTTGTACAATTTAATCCTGTTAGCTCTATTTACTTACACTGCGATTATTCAAACAGGACTATTTATGATTTTAGTGAAATTGGATTAAATAATTGGATGCTTTACTACACATTTTGACTACATGGAGTATCCCATAACTTACTGTATAAACATAAAATAATCAATATACTTTATGAGTGATCCCTTCACTAGTTTGGAAAAGTGAAATAAAAAATGAAGCGTTGGATTAATTCCTTAAAATACATAATCCCATATATTGTTTAATATACAAACATTTGGACAAATGGACATTACAAACAATCCAACACAATAATCACAAACCGTAATATTTTAAAATCAAAACACGAGCGGTTTTATCGACAATATGCATAATAATAGGTGTGCATAACTGCACGGCCACAATTCCCGGTAAAATCATAAATATTTACGCACCACTAACGCTGCCATCGGTGCGCACTCGATGAAATTACACCATAAAAATCGAACTACCACTTACTCCTTACATCGCCAAATAACAATATTCCAGCCATTGTTAATTTTTACGACTCGTGTTTTATTAGAAGCATTAACAACCGCGCGGAAATCGAGCCGGTGAAAAATATATTTTCTCCGCGCTCATAGTGCTGACGGGATAAAACGCTTCGACTTATCGATACATCATCCACCGACAGCTTTTTCATTGCGACGAGCAAACGAACAAGCAATGATTGATGGCAATCTTCACTCTCGAAGGTTATAAGTGTCGAATGGTGTTATACGGGTATATGTTTTATCTTCAGAAAGGTTAGCAGAGGTAAAACACTGATGCTTCAACTTTACCCTCTTTACTCTGTGTCTCATTAATGACGACTCATTTTACTTTGCTGGATACATGATCAAAAAGAAAAATAGCAAATAAATGCAAAAATGGTGTGGCAAAAGCATAAAACTATGTAAGTGTTAAACATAAGAATAGTGCAAGGAGATATCCTAGAGGAATGTAGGTATTGTTTTTAATATTATTTAGGGCATCCACGAGAGTAAATAACAAGTCAAATAAAACAACGTCGCAATCAGTTTATAGGTATGGATTTTTATTCTCAGTCCCTCCCATTTTCCGATAAGATCAAAGATCACATAAACGTTCCCTTTTCGCCGTCAGGCTAACCATCCACTTCCTTATCGGAACGTCGAATCAACACGCCACACCGTCACCATCACGAATATTATTGATTGTTAAATCGCACACGACATCGTTTAGAAACGGAATAAGAAATTTGAATTTTACAGCGCTTAGTGCATGATATCCACCCGCCCCAAGTGGGCGTTCGAAATTACCCCACAAGCTTCGCGCAACAAGTACTCCGGAAGAGCTGCATCACTTGCATCAGGTAGCATCGTTTCAGTGGTACTGTGAATGATATTTTAGTTCAATTTATAATATCCCCAAAAGTAGGTGTTCGAAATGGCTCCAAGATTTTTGCAGGTACTCTGGAAGAGCTGGATCACTTGGATCACTGTGGTATTGTCAATGATTTTTTTAGTTCAATACCCTCAAAGTAGGTTTTCCAAATTATTCCAAGCTTTGCTCAACAAGTACTCCGGAATAAGAACTGAAGGAATGAATGAAGAGCAGATAGTATCATTACTTAGTGGTACTGTGAATGATTTTTTAGTTCAATTTATTGAGCATAGTATCCCCTAAGTGGGTGTTCGAAACTACTGCAAGCTTTGCTCAACGGGTACTCTGGAAGAGCTGGATTACTTGCAAGAGTATAGTATCTATTACCCAGTGGTATTCTTAGAGAATTTTTAGTGGAGTGTGTAAGGTTTAGGGAGAAAAAAAAACTTACTTTGAGAGCTTCTTCGTGCGATATTCCAGTAAAAGGGGTTCCGTTGACTTCCAGAATGGAGTCGCCCGGCCTGAGACCGGCCCTTTCGGCGACGCTGCCTTCTTCTATCCGGGAAATGTACACTCCGACACCTGGAATAAAAACGGCGCAATTTCAGAAAACACGAGCGCAAAACGAGCGGGTCCGGGAAAATGCCTAAAAATTTTCTATCCTATTGTTTCCCTAGACGCGACGTCCGTTTACGCGGCGGGAGCAATAAAAAAGATTATATTCGAATGGCGTAAAAGCGAATCGAGTTGTTCGGTGTTCGTTTCCCGTCGCTTCGTCTGGCGAATGAAAACACAATTGAATTAGTAAAAAGTTTTCCGGTTTCTAGCCCGTTTTCCGGCAAAGCCGGGACCGTTAAGGTGGAAAGTTTTATGAGAATTCAGCCGTCTATCGTCTATCGCATAAATAAAACCGCCGACAACGTTTGTTTAGTTTGTTACCAATCTAGAAATACGAAATTAATTATATTTGAATATGTATGTACATATCTACTGAATTTTACAGTATTGTATAATCTTGATGCGCCGTGAAAGTTGCAGTTAACGAAATTTCGCATTCATAAAACGCGCTGGAAGTTCGAAATTACTTTGTTTGTAATTTTATACCGCTTTTGCACCGTGAGATGGTTGCACAACAAACGCGAATGTTTTAATTAAAAAGAACGGAAAATGGCTTTATAGAGAAATATAGGTCATTTGAAGTTTCAGTTTGTAGAATCAAACACTAATTTTTTATACCTCTCTGGTAACCAAACTCCTCCATAATTAAATTCAAATAAGACCATGTTAAAGGTTTTTGTCAAAGGAATTATCAAAGGATTTTAATAAGAGAGCGTTTAGGGAAATACGATTCCTATTCGACTTTTATAAGTCAACAAAATTATTTTTATGGCCAATAACGACGTTTCGGTCTGTTTACAAGCAGTAATTCTCCTTAATATCATTAAAAGCTTCTATAAAAGAACCGTTCCTTTTCAAGCCAGATTGCGGTGTTCTAATTAAAAGTCCTTTTGAGAGCACACATCATGTATACGCGGCCTATTTCGACTCTTTATTATCTCGAGTTCGTATTTTCACTCTAGCGGACTTGCAAAGTCGCTCACAATAGAATCGCAATTATATTAAAAGAAATGTAATCGGATTTTCCGTTCCGGGACAGTTGAGTGGGGAAAAAAAGGACGACAAACAGTTGTTGCATTATTGATCGGCCGCTTTTTGTATTCTCTTTTATTTGATGAGAAGAGACGGTGTCGTAAAAAGGTCGAAAGGTGTCGGTTTTTCTTTGATTTCTTAAAATTTCCGACCTTCTATTAAATATTCTTTCTATTAATAGTTACTTGCGGGGATACTCGAGAACGCGCTGAAGGAGCTAATAAATCCTAAAAATTGGTTAATATTAATCATTCCTTTATAAAATAGAGTTATATCTTATTCTTGTAGGAAATCCAATAATATTTCCATGTTATTTAATCCTAACAGGTACCTGACAAAACGCGACATAACTAATCGAAGAGTCGTTAAAGTCGCAGCGAACACATAACATATCCGGTTGTTTAACGACACATTTTCCGAACATAAAAGTGTACGTAATAAATGCGATATCGTAAGCTGCTGTGCAATTACAATGGCATTAAATAGAGATGAAGGTACGTTTATGGATTATTCGTTTTACGACATCAATTCGTTCGGATTTGCATACGTACTTTGATCGGGAATACGAGGAATACAATAACATCAAGCCCTTACGCATAATCAGCGTGGAAATTGAAACAAACATTTCGACAGGGTATCAATCAGGTAACCGGGACGCTGAAATATACTCCGGCGAGAAATTTTATTATTCAGCACGTTCGGCGCAATCGTGGAAACTGAAGAAACCGATTTGAATTTCAAATGTTCTTAATGTCTCGGTCTGTGGATACGGCCGTTATCAAAGCAATTTATGGGTCCAATTACAAACATGGAAAACTTTCGCGCGGCCTTCCTAAACTCCGACGTAATCGTTATTCGTATTCTTGTGGAAATCGACTACTCGAAATAATAAAACGATACGGCGCGCCCCAATTTTTCGGATAAACGCTAATAAAACGTGTTCCCATCGACGCGAAAATCTACTCGCATTTTATTTATTCCCTGCTAAAAAATAACAACGAAATCCCCAGATATGAGAGGTAGACATGCAACGAGCGAATTCAATGAGAACTATAATATTAGTTCAAACATGTAAAGAACAATGGTTAACTGTGCATCGGATTTCCGCACTAACAAAAAAAAAATCAGTAAAATAAAAACCTAAAAACCTGAAAAATTTAATCTCTACAAACTGATAAATCTGGAAATATGTGCAGGTATGTAATATTTTTAGTGAAAATGGAAAACTATAATTTTTGTTAGAGAGTAGAGAGTAGAGAGTAGATTTGAGTTGAGTGTTGATTAGATAGAGAGTAGAGGGTAGAAAGTAGAGAGTAGAAAATATAGAGACTATAATTCTGGAGTTCCATCAGTGCACAGTTGGTAAGAACTGCTAGCATTATTCTAAACCTAGATTATTCCAGCAATACCTAATTTTTATTTTGAACGAAGTTCTAATAAACCAAATAATAATCTGGCTATAGTTAATGGTTAAGAAACAAACATCGTTTTTTCTGCTACAACAGTAGTGTATATCTGGATACACATCTCACCTGCTTCTTTGCCTCCTTTAACGCATATCCCGAAACCGGGTTCCTGAGGTTCCCTGACCATCGTCACCGTTCTTGTGGTCAGTTCGTGTATATTGGGCAGATGGGGAGGTCTGTAGTTCGCCTCTCTGTTGACGTGATGTGCCGTCGAGGGCGGGCTGCTCGCCGGCGATCTCCTGGGTCTATCGGCGCCCGTTTTCACCACGGACGAGGAAGGATTATTACTACCGAACAGCCTGAGCACCTGCTCCGGGGAAATGGGGCGCTTTTTGTTATTGGAAGCAGCAGGAGTACGTCCCGAGGTCGTGCTGAAGTTCGGGTTGGAACCCAAGTAAGTACCTATCGATTAGATTGTTAATGAATAAGTTTTGTATTGGGTGTAGAGGTTATGCTTTACCTCTAGGACTAGTTAGTGAATTATAGTTGTATTCTCTAGGAGAATGGTGGTGCATCACAGAGCTAGGTCTTTCGACAATAGTATACGAAGTGCCCGGAGGGGAATAGTACAACCCCGAGCGGCTTCTCGAATAGCTCCTTGGACTGCCGTTGGTGGGGCCCAGCACGTCCTCGGCTTCAGCCGCCATCGGTTGCCGTCCACCGCCTCTTCCTCCGCCTGAACCAGACCAAACGTATGCGTAACATCTATCGAATGATATTTTAATTTTAACTAACCTGTACGGCCGTACGTCGTGCGACCATAGTGACCGCCCGACAGGTCCGCCAGCTCGGCGTAATCCTCGTTGCCAGCGGCGCCGGCGCCGGCGCGCATCGCCCGCTTCTTCCTCGCTTTCTTCTGCGACGCTTCTTCTTCTTCTTTTTCTTCGTCCCCGTTGTACCGATCGGCTGGCTAAGTGCTAGCCTTCGCGCTATCGTCACGAATACGTTAGCTGCAAATAAACAGAAAAAAATATCGTCACTGGAAGTACCTCTCTTACCTAGTTAGTACCATAATACAGTGTAGTACCATAAGACAGGGGGTAATTCTTTGGATCTCTATTTATCTTATTTCTTTCGCTTTTTATGGTACCTAACTACTGCAATTCTCAATACATAAATAGCAACGAAGTATGGCTATTCTACTGAAATTACTAAAGTACCAATTTAACGAAGGTACTACTAGCGGAATTTTTACTACTACAAATAATTGCAAAACCCTTTGGCATAAAAAATTCAAAAGTTGTTTTATTTAATCTGAAATGTCTAAGAGGATGGGGAATGCGATCCACATTGCACATTGCACATTATCTCTGGAAAAGCTCTTGCAGTAGTGGTTTAGCTAGGGTTCGCTTTGATGTAAAAGGCTGTCGTGAATGAGGTTAGACATTAGATGTTAGCTGGATTGATAGACGGCTATTTCATTAGAAATCTCACTGATAGATTTACTCTTTGTAAAATAAAACGAATTCAATTCACTCTAGTTTATTTGACACTAAATTAATGTGTTGGTAGTTGTCCCATAAATGTTTGAATGAATATATCCGCACTATATCAAAATTTTATGAGAAAAATAGATAGTTAAATTCGGAGTTTTCGTTTATTATGGCTACAAAAAGCGCCGATTTTCCAAACGCTGGAGGGTAATGGAAAGAGGACGTTTTCCCCAAATCAACACACCCCATCTAGACAGATTACCTAGTGGCAAAAACGCTGACGTCCCGGACATCCAGAATGCTCTAATCTGGCAATATTCCACGAAACGTCGGCTCGAATTTCCCACATTTCGAAAACATATATTCCCGGTTTCTACTCGAAGCAACCGAAATTGAAACCCTGCAGGCGAACACCGTCAATTTATGATGTAGACGTTGCAATATAAAATATTTGCAATACGCGGCCGCGTTTCGAATTATTTCGGGGGAATTCGAGGAATTGTCAAATGGGAAATTTTCATATTTATATACTTGTATCTAACCGGATAATTTATTGGAAAATATGCCGTTTTAAAAGAGCACATGTAGAAAAAACTGCATTATAATTTTGCATCAAAGAGGCTTAATTTCTCTTGTAAACATTTTTAAATTCTATTTAATTGTTCATCATTTAAGTGGTGCATAATTTTGAAGTATTATTCTTGATTACTATATGGAAAAAACACTCTATAGATCCAGATCCTACTTGATTTATCGTCCATTTCTCATTAAATGAGTGGTTATTTTTAGAAACAATAAAACCGAAGGCAGAAAACAAACACCTACCGGAATTGAATTAAAAGAAAATTTATTACTATTCTCCGGACTATCAATTTATTTGATAAATGACGGGTAGACATGCCCACTAAGACAATGAGCGTCTAAAAATATTTCCTACAATATTGATAAAATCTAATCTGAAAATAAACTGGAATATATAAGTTATCTAAAAATTTTCCACCCATTTTAATCCGTTCAATCTCTCGGATGATCGTAGAAATAATTACGTTTAAAATGTAGTTTTTCGATAATCGAGTTGGTTATTGATCCTTAACATTCCATAAAGAGTTGGCGAATCTGCTCTTTTGGTATGCAAAACCCGTTCAAATATTCTCTCGACACGTCATATTGATCCTCGAGGAATTCTCGATATTACTTATCGAAATGTCTAGTCCACTTCCACGTTCTATTCTCCGTTAAGAGTGATTACATTTTTCGCATAAATGGACTTGACAATAAAATAAGCCATAATCAAAGAGAATATTTTACATCAAGTCCATATCACTTATATAATACTGCTTTTTAAACTGATTCGAAACGTGACCCGTTTTTCTACTTATTTTTACGTTTCGAATGCAAATCAATTATTCCAACAGAATCGGTGTTATTCGTGATGGAAATTTTGTCCTGGAAAAAACGGTTTCCATTCGAAACGCTAATCCGCTTTCACTGTGTTTAATGGAGTTTTTCTCCTTTTTCTCTTTAATGGAGCCTGTTTTTTGGATGGAAAGAAACTTTTACCGTTACATGACGGCAATTAAAACATTTTTAATTGAAATTATCGATTTTAAAATAGCAACAAAACCTTAAATGACATTTAATTACGCCGAATAAATGGTAGAAAAATTGCAAATATACTCCCTTTTAAAACTTATCGAGCCTTTTCGTTTCTATTTTCATCAATCTTCCGAGGCAAGTATCTTTCGAAAATTAATTTTTCGACGTTCACGCTCGGTAATTGATTTCCTTCAATTTCCGTTCGCCAGGTCTCCTTTTACACGTGCTCGACAAAGAGCAAACAAATGAGAAAATAAACATCCATAATGCAGGCATTGCGTGAGGTGTGGCGCTACCGACCGCCGCCACGCCGCCCCTTAACCCCTTATTTCCGCAGGGGAGTAAGTCGTTCGAGTTCTCTCAAAATCTATAACATTATTGTGTCAGGTATGCATTGAAACCTTTCCCTTACGACGTCCTGCGACCGTGCATTAGCATTTTCTTTAACGACGGTTCGATTATATCACGACTCCTTAGTGGTGCTATTTTTGAATTATTAATTGGCTCTGATGCAATGGATTGGATTTCATGGAAATATCTATTTGATCAATTGAGAATTTGAGATATTTAGTAGGTAGTTTGAATAGAAAATATAAATGTTGATATAAATTCGAACCCAATTTTCGATAATATCTCATTAGCATTCATCTAAAATTTCTATAGCGTATTACACTGTCATGATATGATGGGCGCTCATAATTGGCCTTTCAGAAGGTTCAAATAAGCCTGATTGAAATTCGCTATACTAATGAAAATTCGTCGTTTCAGGGTATTTCGAATAATGTTTGTGGAATAATATACCTATAGGTATACTATATTACAAAGTGTATCTATCGGAATATTAGGAGAAAACTTCTTTGTTCGAATGAGCTAAGTAATGTTTCTTTCCGCTTTTAAAACTCCGTCTAAAACTTATTATCTAAAGTAATAGGGTATTATCTTTAAATTTATTTTCTATGGTATTTTTCAATGTTTCCGTGAAATTTAGCGGAAGAACGCAATATAGTAAGTTTAAGTTAATCTGAGATTTGAACTTTATGAGGTAAATGCACTTTGTTTTTGGAACAATTCCAGTCTGCCAAAGTTTTAAATCCAAGAGAATATCTCTTATGAAACTTTGACAATATTACAGAAAGTAGGTATTATTTTACAGGTGCTGAAATTATTGTAAGATAAAAGTGATTATTCTGAAGAAAAGCTATAATAAACTGGCATGAATAACTTTTTTACTTTATCTGTTACTTTCTTTTTTACTTACTTTATCTTAACTTCAAGCCAAAACAAGTCACAAATTAATCATTATTATTCCCTAATTTACATATTGCATCAGCTGTATAAATGAATACTTTTGCCACCCCAACACCAGCTCGCTTTATGCAAAAACCCTTCATCCTCTCACAGTTTAACAAAATACCCTTTACTTATTGATACATTTTTTATTTATTTACCAGCAAGGGCGTTACCATGGCGATTAATCGTTTCGCGCCTTCATCTTCTATACGACAGGTAATCCCGTAAAGAACATTTTACGGTTCGTTTTGTTGCACAATTATTTGCCGAATTTGGCAAAGAACAGGCAATTAAGATGACGGAAAGAAATTTATGAACCACCTACTAAAAAGGTATTACTTCCATTTGTTGAATTTGGATGGGAGCCACGGTTTTGGGTCATATAGCGCAATAGATAAAGGACAGGAACATTTAAAGAGGCGTTATTCTTCGATGATATAAAAATCGTTAAATTATTATCTATACCTACCTGATGTTACAGACAAGTTTCTCAGGATCAAATACTCATATATCTTAAAGTAAATGGGATTTCGAAATACAATTAAGGTATTATATTACTCCCTGAATTGTTTATTGTGTATAGGAATAAATTTTCTTAATGCATATTCTATAAATATTAAAATTACCTAGTGCACTTTTTGCAGTTGTAATTTTCATTCGGGTTACGAAGCTAAAAATTTGCCTTTATATTTTATCTATGTTAAGGGTTGTTGAGATATCGATCTGCTCTTGAAACTTGGAAGTTTATTTTCACCATATTTTTAGGTTGTATAAGTAACCTTTTTTCTCGTCGATTCGGCGCTTTACATTTTTATCCACTTTAATTACTTTTTAATAGGTCTGTTTAGTCTATTAATTAAGTTGAAGTTCCTGCTACAATTTCAAAGGCAGCAATTTGCTGTTTTATTTTTATTTGTTCCGCCAAAAGCCCTTTATAATGCAATCAATCATTCTCTATCCAGTCTTATTTACCCACCTATTGTTAATTAACAGAGTTTTTAATACCTTTTTTGATGAGTTCAAAGGCATATTTTACTTCCGTAAACAAAACTATTTAGTTATACACAAAGGACGAACGGAAAATGAATTATTTCATGCACACATTCCCCTCAATTTCCAGTTTATGGAAGGGTGGCGACGAAAAAAAATTATCCAGGCCGGCGATATTTCGATGGCGAACTCTACCGTTCTAGCGCGGGATTCTCTGGAAATGCCGCCTTTTAACCTTGACATAGGCTGCGGCATTGGGCGGCAACGCGGATATATATTTCATAAGGGATCGGGTTCGTTCGAAGAATTTGCTGTTATTCTTTTGAATGCAATATAATTAATGGCAATCGCACGAGACCAGGGCATCGAATTTAAAGGCAAAATCGTTTAAAATATTACCCCATGGAGGGAGATAATATTTTACCTAGAGGATACCTACGTCTATTATGACTAAAGATTTGCTCTTAAAAGAGATGGTTGTAAAAATGCTTTTTAAAAAATGATTTAGAGTTAGACTATTCAG